TCAGACGGCCGTCGGGTGATCGCTGGTTGCCCTCTCTAGGCAATGTTTCAGGAGGCATCTCAAATCACGAGGACACAATCGAAAACAAGTGCACGTTCAACCTATCGTGTTCGGGATCCGACAATTCCAACGCCAACGGCAAGCAGACAGCTTGAGCTGCGCGTTGATAGCGACAACGGACATACTCAAGGGAACAAGCGCGAGAGACGCCAACCCAGCGGCAGCCGCCGATGGCTCCAGGTGACCCATGTTTGATTTCAAAGATGCGCATTATAAGATCTGCGAGTTCGCACGCAAAGCTCCCATAGCCGCTCCCACCTGAGAGAACCGTCTCAGCCCAGCGTTGAATAACCCAATAAAAAGACCTCGATCGGATCTCCGAGTGCCGTTCCCGTGCCGTGCGCTTCTAGTGCTCCGTCTATGGCGCTGCCGTCTCACACAGCTTCAATCAGTCACCTTTGTGAAGAACCATTCGGTGCCGTCAAGCTCGCGCTCGGACCATCCTATTACACAGCCGTGCCGAGGTTCTAGACATTTGAGCCTGCCGAGAACAACAGGAATGCCCCGCATCCCTCGCCACGGCAATACCCGTCTGCTCGGCGATCAAAAGTGTGGCAGCGCCCAAAGGCGGAAAGCATTCCCGCGGCTGAGAATGCAATCGATACAGCCTTAGTCAGCATCCCGATGCCCGTTGCTGCAGCCCGGGGACACTCCATCAGCTTAAGAGCCGACACTGTCAGATGAGTAGCGACAAGAGACGACGAGCACGCCGTGTCCAGCGTCAGGCACGGACCCGTTAGCCCCAGTGTAAATGACACTCGACCCGACGCCACCGAGAGCGTCCCGGAGGTTCCCGAATACACCGTAAGCGTCCCTGTCCTACCAGCCTCGCCAGCATCATTGCCTGCGAAAGCGCCACCAACACCAAGGAAGAAGCCAATTGGCATATCTATGAGTGATGCGCGGCAGCTCGACGCACACAGCGTGGAAGTCGTTGTTTCGAGAACCACCATCATTTGTGGGTTCATGCCTGACGACTCAATCCTCGAGATCCAAAAGCGG